TATTCTACAGTGTACATGGCCTACACCCTGCAGTGTACGTGACCTACACCCTGCAGTGTACATGGCCTACACCCTGCAGTGTACATGGCCTATATTCTACAGTGTACATGGCCTACACCCTGCAGTGTACGTAGCCTACACCCTGCAGTGTACGTGGCTACATTCTACAGTGTACATGGCCTACACCCTGCAGTGTACGTGGCCTACACCCTGCAGTGTACGTGGCCTACAAACTGCAGTGTACGTGGCCTACACCCTGCAGTGTATATGGCCTACACCCTGCAGTGTACATGGACTACACCCTGCAGTGCATATGGCCTACAATCTGCAGTGTACGTGGACTACATCCTGCAGCGTACATGGCCTACACCCTGCAGTGTACATGGCCTACATTCTACAGTGTACATGGCCTACACCCTGCAGTGTACATGGCCTACATTCTACAGTGTACATGGCCTACACCCTGCAGTGTACATGGCCTACATTCTACAGCGTACATGGCCTACACCCTGCAGTGTACATGGCCTACATTCTACAGTGTACATGGACTACACCCTGCAGTGTACATGGACTACATCCTGCACAGTACGTGGACTACATCATGCACCCTACGTGGACTACATCCTGCACCGTACGTGGACTACATCCTGCACCGTACGTGGACTACATCCTTTACCGTACGTGGCCTACATCCTGCACCGTACGTGGCCTACATCCTGCACCGTACGTGGACTACATCCTGCACCGTACTTGGACTACATCCTGCACCGTACGTGGACTACATCCTGCACCGTACGTGGACTACATCCTGCACCGTACTTGGACTACATCCTGCACCGTACGTGGGCTACACCCTGCAGTGCACATGGACCACACACTGCAGTGTACAACCGTCAATGTAGCCCCGTGCAGAGGAAGTACTCTTGTTGCACGAGTACACACACACTCCTCGTGCAGAGGAAGTACTCTTGTTGCACGAGTACACACACACTCCTCGTGCAGAGGAAGTACTCTTGTTGCTCGAGTACACACACACTCCTCGTGCAGAGGAAGTACTCTTGTTGCCGAGTACACACACACTCCTCGTGCAGAGGAAGTACTCTTGTTGCTCGAGTACACACTCCTCGTCCTGCTGCTCCTCACTGTCACTCAAACATCAACCTTAATAAAGGTTCTCACCTTAATAAAGGTTCTCACCTTAATAAAGGTTCTCACCTTAATAAAGGTTCTCACCTTAATAAAGGTTCTCACCTTAATAAAAGTTCTCACCTTAATAAAGGTTCTTACCTTAATAAAGGTTCTCACCTTAATAAAGGTTCTCACCTTAATAAAGGTTCTCACCTTAATAAAGGTTCTTACCTTAATAAAGGTTCTCACCTTAATAAAGGTTCTCACCTTAATAAAGGTTCTCACCTTAATAAAGGTTCTCACCTTAATAAAGGTTCTCACCTTAATAAAGGTTCTACCTTAATAAAGGTTCTACCTTAATAAAGGTTCTCACCTTAATAAAGGTTCTTACCTTAATAAAGGTTCTTACCTTAATAAAGGTTCTCACCTTAATAAAGGTTCTCACCTTAATAAAGGTTCTTACCTTAATAAAGGTTCTCACCTTAATAAAGGTTCTCACCTTAATAAAGGTTCTACCTTAATAAAGGTTCTCACCTTAATAAAGGTTCTCACCTTAATAAAGGTTCTCACCTTAATAAAGGTTCTCACCTTAATAAAGGTTCTCACCTTAATAAAGGTTCTCACCTTAATAAAGGTTCTTCACCTTAATAAAGGTTCTCACCTTAATAAAGGTTCTTACCTTAATAAAGATTCTTACCTAATAAAGATTTACATAATAAAGGTTCTCACTCAAACTCACATTTACTTAACAGTAAAATTCTTTTGCCAAAATAAAAAAATAAAGAAAGAAACCTCTGAAACCATGAGAAGTACACACCAGAAACCTCTGAAACCATGAGAAGTACACACCAGAAACCTCTGAAACCATGAGAAGTACACACCAGAAACCTCTGAAACCATGAGAAGTACACACCAGAAACCTCTGAAACCATGAGAAGTACACACCAGAAACCTCTGAAACCATGAGAAGTACACACCAGAAACCTCTGAAACCATGAGAAGTACACACCAGAAACCTCTGAAACCATGAGAAGAACACACCAGAAACCTCTGAAACCATGAGAAGTACACACCAGAAACCTCTGAAACCATGAGAAGTACACACCAGAAACCTCTGAAACCGTGAGAAGTACACACCAGAAACCTCTGAAACCATGCGAGCACATGAAAAACTCTCTGAAACATATTAGAACACATGGAACACTCACTGAAACACATTAGAACACATGGAACACTCACTGAAACACATTAGAACACATGGAACACTCACTGAAACACATTAGAACACATGGAACACTCACTGAAACACATTAGAACACATGGAACACTCACTGAAACACATTAGAACACATGGAACACTCACTGAAACACATTAGAACACATGGAACACTCACTGAAACACATTAGAACACATGGAACACTCACTGAAACACATTAGAACACATGGAACACTCACTG